TAAAATGATGACGTTTTGAGATTGGAAAAAAATATAATAATAAAAATTAATATAATCTAAAATAAATTAAGATTTTAAAAATATCTTTCTTTCCTCTAAAAAAGATACCATTTTAGAATCTTAAGAAACAATCATTTTATTAAGTGACATTATGCATCCATATTAACTAAGTGGAAAAAAATAATTAAAAGTTTCCTCTCTATTTTTATTTTTATTTATTTTTAATCAACTTCGAGCCGGGTAGAAGAATTGTAAAACTTTTTCTATTAAATTTTTATGCGACTGCGTATTCAGAATTCAAATTTGAGACCACTTTTACATTGAAATTATCCTCTAAATTCTTTTAAGTTTTTCTTTTGTTCGTCTTTTGTAGGATTTACCGCGAGACTGTTATAAATTTTAATACTCTTTTTTGGTATAAGCACATTAATCAATGTGGCCGATTGGCGAAGATTATTTATTAAGTACCCATTCGTAAAGGCGAATATAAAAGCTGAAGATTAAATAATTGGATAAATAAATTATCTTTTTGCTGCAAGCTAGGTAAAAAATAAATAAAAATATGTCATCGAGAACACAAAAATAGAAAAAACAAAAGTTTATATATGAGAAGTCTGGTTTCCATGCACATGTGGACAGAGAGGAATCGAAGGTATTAGTGAACATTTAGCAAAAGAATGTTGCGAGAGATAGGTGGATAGCTACAAGGAATCACTTCTAAGTTTTTATCCTTCTCCTTCAAATTAAGTAGTGTTTCAAAATCCAAGAGAAGTTGGTTTAATTGCGATGTAGTTAGATTTTAGGATTTGATGTATTCAAAAATAGAGTGTTGGAATATTTACGTCTACGTGATAAGTTTCATATTCGTTGATAATAAGTTAATTAAATTGAATATAAATGGATGGATCGATGAACATAATATATTGAAATATGGTGTCCGATTCATTTGATATGGTAGTATATTCTTAACCCATTTGTGATGATCCTCCACCTATATTGCACCAACACTGATACGAGACATGACACGATACGACACGCTGACATATTAATTCTAGAAAATATTAGATTTTGACACGTTAAGAACACAATTTGATATCAAATAAATTTTTTAATAAACATAATATAGTTTACATTCACTATATGTAGTAGCCTATAATAAGTCATATAACTAATCAAATATTCAAATTCAACAACATAAAATTTAAAGCAAAAATATTTTTTATGCCTAGTTAATTTTTCATGTCAAATTTGATAACAGAAAATATTTGATTTATAAATAAAATTTTCATGTTTAGTTAAAAAGATAAAATAAAATAAAATTTGGATAAAAAAAAGTGTTGGAAAACATTGATCATGTGTCAGAAAATGTTAACTGCGTGTCGGAGCGTATCAGTGTCCGGCACCCAGTTTTTTTAAAAAAAGAAGTGTGTTTCTGCTTCCTTGTCCCTCGCCATGGACTTTCCCTGGACCAGCCTGACAGTGGTATCAGAGTCGGATTGAGCTTGAGCTAGTCAAGTGTTTGGCTAGGAAGCAGATTGAGTACTTTGGAATTTAGTATTCAATTAAGAGCGAGTATACCAATGTTGGATTTCACACTTAAAGATATACTCAAGTGTGATGAGTCACGCATTAATTGCGATAGCTAACAACTATTACAGCTATTGTCATTTATTTGACACTCCTAGCATTTTTTTTCTTATAAACACTCGTAGCATTTTATTTAGGCACAAGTTTGTCAATTATTTTAATATATATATATATATATATTTATATTTATGAGACATCATCTTCTTATAATAAATTTTATACCAAAACTTAGTCATTGATAATTAATAATTAATTAATGATTATAACCAAATAGATTATAATAAATTACTTGCTAAGTTTTACACTCAATTTTAGTCGTTGGTTTTTGCGCATCAGACGGTTATAATTTATTGGGTTACAATTATTAATTCTCAATAAATTACAACAGTTACATATAAAAAATTCAATTATTAAGGTTGAATATAGGATTTATTATTATTATTATATATATATATATATTTATATATATATATATATGTGGGTGGAAGATCTTTTTACGCTAGTATCAATTGTCTTGAAATTTGACAACAAATTCTAATCATTGATTTTCACCAATCAACAGTTATATTTTTTGCCATTCAAACTCATTAATTAATTATAAATTTCCAATAAATAATAATTTATGATTGATGTAAATAAACGGTTAGAATTTGTGTCAAAATTTAAAATTTGACACTAGTGTTAAAAGATCATATATATATATATATATATATATATATATATATATATATATATATATATATATATATGAGTTTGTTGTTTGTCATTTTAAAAGATGTAAGTTATGTCATTTTAGAAGAGAGATAGACACAAGAAATGAAAATCATAGGGAAGAAAGTGGGTGATTTTTTTAATTTAAATTTTAAATATTTTTTTTATTTTGTGTCTATCTCTCTCTTAAAATTACATAACTTTATGTCATTTAAAATGACGAATACTTTTTCCTATATATATATATATACTATGAAATACCGACACTTCAAAAAATCCTGACGTGTCGTGTCTGACACTTTTTGACACTTTTCGACATTCCAACACGCGTTGTAGAGACTCAAAAAAAGGTTCAAAGGTTGCGTTGCGTTGCGTTTTTAGTTCTAATTATTAGATTCGTTGGATTACGATTACCATTTTATTGAGTTTAATATAAATATTTCGGATATCTTATGTTTTTTTACAAAATTGATGGGTATTATAAGTTTAACTTTATTTTTTTGTTAAATTATCGAGTATTAAATATAATATACATTACATAAATTAAAAATATATATTTAATATCAAAATGTGTCCTAACATATCAAAATTTAATATTTTTTAAAATTAACATATTGAAATGTTGTCTCTCGTGTCAATATGAGTTCTATATAGTACATATATTAGAGTTGAACCTTCCATCTTTGTTCCTCTAATATTAGTTTACTTATATAAACAGGAATTACACGAGTTACCGTAGAATGAGACAGCAGCTATTGAAATTACCGAAGGACAAGATCCGGTGGAATCTAAGCATCTACCAATTTTATTCTCGACAAGATATTTCCTCGTCTCTTCGACCCATCCAATTGAGAAGACACTTTTAGTTGTGTCTTTTTTTTTTTTTGGAAATAACTTTTAGTTGTGTCTAAAAACATAAAAAGAGGGAAATGGTTAAAAAAATATATGTTATTATGATCGTGTAAGATAATCATAACCATACAAAAGTGAATCAATGATTATAATTTAATAATTATCTATTTTAGTATTTTTTCTTTATTCTTTTATCACAATTGTTTCACTTTTGTATGGTTATGATTGTTTATAAGGTTTGTTTTTTCTAAAGTTACTTTGAATAATTTTATCTAATGTTCATCGAAACGACGTCGTTTTGAGGCAAAAATCATGGTGTTTTTGTAATTTTAATTTATTTCAGGGTTATAATAGTCCTTATCATTCTAATTTTTTAATTTTTCAACCGCAAATTGACGTCGTTTCGATGAACATTAGATAAAATTATCTAAAGTAACATTAGATACTTTTTTCTCTTGTTTATATGACCATGTTATGTCTTTCTCAATAGGGTTTTATTTTTCTTATGTCATATAAGTTAAATCTTCTCTCCTACTCTCACAACAAATGGTGGGACCCACTTTATTTTTTTTAAAAGAAAAGAGAAAAATAACAGAACACGAAAATCGAAGTGAGAATAGAAGATAAAATTTCTCTTATGTGACATAAGAGAAATAAAATCCTTCTCAATATGAGATGATCCATTCCATAAAAATAGATACTTGTACAAAAAAATATATATAAAATGAGAGCAAATGATGATAGTTTAATTAACACAAAGAGCTGAGCAGGTTGGTGGAGGTGAGAGTATTTGTTCGATTGATCCTCCCAATATTATATTTGGAAGGGGTTTAAAATTTTAATTCTGATGTGGAGGATCGGTGGCGGAGCCGGGATTCAATTTGAGCCCGGGCCAAAAAATTACATATGTATTTTTTTTTTTAATTTTAGTTTGTTCATATCATAAAATATTTAAAGTATGTTAAATACAGAGTACTTGAGCAGACAACACTAAGAAAAATTATAATTTTATTAAATATTTTTTATTTTTTTTATACAAGTGAGAATTAAACACATAACTTAATACAACTTATCCAAATCTCTCACCAAATATATTTTAATCTTTAGATAGGGCCAAATTACAAATTTTAGCTCGGGCCAAATTACAATTTTAACCCGGGCCAAATTATAATTAAGGGTCTCGATTTTCTCATGTGGTAGGAGAAAATTTTCTCATGTTGTAGACACATCTTACGTGGGGTCCACATCTATTAAAAAATTAAAAAAACAAAAGAAAATATTACACGCAAATCGGTCACTAGTAGGAGAAAACAATTCTCCAACATGAAAAAATATTTTCCTTATAATTAATTATATAATTATATATAATAAATATGGGTTTTCGTTTTATCCTTTAACATAACACAACAAACTTTCTTACCCTCACAATATTTTGTGGGGTCCACACTTTTTAAAACAAAAAAATAAATAAAAAATTAAGGCATGCAAAACGAATCTCTATAACATTACACAATCATTTTTCCTACAACATAATCCTTATAAAACCCAATAAATATAATTTGTTAAAATTTAACCCGAATCGAAACCACTCTCAAGTACTATGTGGCTCCGCCAATGCGGAGGTTGCACGTAGTTTATAAAAAAAAAAAAAAAAAACATAAAAAAGAGTTTTTTTCCCCCAAGTTTTGTAATTTTGAGTGGAATATTCGGTTTGGCTTTTAGGTTCGAGAAAGGCATTTCACTTTTATGAATATACAAACAAAATCTTAAATTTTTACTAAAGAAAAGAAGAGACAATGCTAATTGAAGATTGGGGGAAAAAGGGTCATGGATAAGGGTAAAAAAGCAAATGTGGTGTCTGTGAACCTTTGGAGGAGTTTAAGGAATGGAACTTGTCTTGTTTGCGTTGTGTCGTGTCTCGAGCCATTTATCATGCACTTAGAATCTACCTTCACTGCTGTGTGTGTTACTGTCCTTCCATTCTTGGAAGACCCGAAAAAAAGAAAAAAGAAAATCCCAAACGGCTATAAATATAATTGACGTTACTTACACTACTAAGGACCCAGAGAGAGACAAGAGAGAGAGAGAGAGACTTAGCAAGTAAGGCTTCAAAGATTGTAGCTTCATCAGGTTTTTCTCACTGCAAATTTGGCCCTTTGGTTTTGACTTCTTCTGTTTTTTTTTTTGGTAGATGGTTTTGACTTTTGAGTAGTGATTACCAGGGAAGAAATCACAATCCAATTGTTATTTTTTTCTTCACCATGTCTGTGGGGTATAATAATTCCAAGAAGACTGATGAAATCTGTGGGGATGATTGCAGCAAGGTACTTTTTTTTTTTTTTTTTTTTAATTCTCTGTTTCCCCCAATTGGGTTTTTCTTTCTGTCTGGTATCTCTCTACTTAGTTGGAAAGTTGATTTTTTTTTATTTTTGGTTTGGGTTGTGTTGTTAATGCTAAAATGGGAACTTGAAATATATTTTCATCTGTTCCACTTTTCATAAAAAAAAATTAGTCTGTCTTGAGCTTAATCCTTCTCAATCTTAGTTAATCATATTAGTTACTTTTCAGTGTTTCTCTCAGCCTATTCCTCCTTTATTTCCTTTGTATATGTGTATCAGAGATATCAAATGTGATTAATTTCTGTTTCATAGTTGATGGGTTTATGATCTTATTGTTGGGCTATTGTTTCAATCTTTAATTTCTGTGGTTTTCCAGTTTTTGAGCCTCTGAAGTTTGAAGTGTAGGTTTTTTATTATGGATTTCAACTTTGAATCTTTGGTTCTTTCATTCTTTGTGTCTCTCTCTGACCCTTCTATCTATATTTGGTACTTCACTTGGTTTCCCTTTGCTTAGGAAATTAAGAATTCTATGCTTTTCGGAATTTTGATAGTTTTAGATTATTCTTTTCTTGACATGTGTTCTATCATTTTGAATTCCATTTTCGGGATTTCCCCCAATTCATATTTTCATGTGAAGATGAAATAATACCAGGATGTTGTTTTGGAACTATAGATATCTTTGTCAAATATGTGCTTGAGAGGGATGGACTTGTGCTTAATACTATTTGTGCAATCAAGCATATGAGGTTTTTGATCATTAAATTAACTTGGAAAGTTTTTGTTTTCAATGCAGGAGGGAACTCGTGCAGCATTGCGCATGTCAAGATTTCTGTGTATTTTAAGAGGGTTTGACTACAAGACCTACATATTTTTGTTTGTGGTCGTCCCAATAGGCATCTTCCTTCTCTATTTGGATGGACATAAAATCACATTCTTTCTGAGACCACTCTGGGAATCTCCTCCAAAGCCCTTCCATGAAATCCCTCACTATTATCATGAGAATGTATCAATGGAGACTTTATGCAGACTTCATGGTTGGACAATTCGCGAATCGCCAAGACGAGTTTTTGATGCTGTGTTGTTTAATAATGAAGTGGACATGCTTACTATTCGTTGGAAAGAAATGCTTCCATACGTGACGCATTATGTAATCCTCGAATCGAACTCAACATTTACAGGGTTGCCCAAACCTTTGATTTTTGCAAGCAATAGTGACAATTTTAAGTTTGTGAAGTCTCGAATGACATATGGGGTGATTGGAGGAAGATTTAAAAAAGGTGAGAATCCTTTTGTTGAAGAAGCATATCAAAGAGTTGCCTTAGACAGGCTTCTGAGGACAGCAGGAATAGAAGATGATGATCTCTTGATAATGTCTGATGTTGATGAGATTCCTAGTGCTCACACAATTAACCTCCTGAGGTGGTGCAATGACATTCCTCCTGTTCTTCATCTTCAACTGAGGAACTACTTGTACTCTTTTGAGTTCTTTCTGGACAATGAAAGTTGGAGAGCATCGATTCATAGATACCAGACCGGCAAGACATGTTATGCACACTATAGGCAAGCTGATGTGTTGTTGTCAGATTCTGGCTGGCATTGTAGCTTCTGTTTCCGACATATAAGTGAATTCATATTCAAGATGAAAGCTTATAGCCATAATGATAGGGTGAGGTTCTCTCATTACTTGAACCATAACAGGATTCAGGAAATAATTTGCAAAGGAGCAGACCTATATGACATGCTTCCTGAAGAGTATACATTTAAGGAGATTATTGGGAAACTGGGACCTATACCTCATTCTTATTCAGCAGTACATCTTCCTTCATATTTGTTGAATAATGCAGAGAAATACAAGTACTTGTTGCCTGGTAACTGCAGAAGAGAGAGTGGCTGAGCTTTTTGAATATGAGATATATTGATATTGTGTATAACACCAAAAGGAACTGTGGTATGGTTACCAAGCAAAGTAGGCCATTCTTTGGAGGAATATTGGGAAGAGCCTGATGGGATCTCGCAATTTGACATGCTGCCATGTTAGATTATTGAGTGAAGAGCTTGTTGTGAGTGCAATAGTGTTACATCTTTTTGCAAACTTTTGTAACTTCTCTTTAAATATGCATAACCCCCCAAGTTAAACACATGTTGTGACCATCAATTATGAAATTGCTAAATGATATTCCATTAATTTTCTAGTAAATAGTTATATTCTTCTCTGGTACCTTGAATTTCAAACCATTAGATTTTGAATCCTGTAATTTGTCCAACTCTTATCATTCTGCAATCAAATTCATCCAATGATCAATGGATAAGGTACAACTTTTTTTTATGATATTACAAATTTTCCTTTAACTTAAGAAAAAAATGGTTACAACCATGGAATTGGGATTGTGATTGTGATTTCAAAAGAAAATTGTTTTTCTGCCAAACTCGTTTATAGTTTTGCATAAATATTGTGTAGATAATTTAGTTTTTTTTTTTTTTTTTGTAAATGACTCTTGCATTGTAAGTGGACTCTGTTGACTTGGTCGACATGTGCCAATGTTTGGATGTTTTCCATGGAAATTGACTTGTTTTTGTAATTTTCAAAGACTTGGAGGAACTAATTGTCTTTGTGGTGAGGATTAATTTGAGTCCCCACCACTCAAGACCAAAGAGCACGTCTTAAAAATTAGATTCCCACTAAGTTGTCTCAATCTTCAAATATCAAATTCATTGTAAGCTTGACTATAAATAATATTTTTCTATATCTTGTGTTTCTTACTGCTGTATTTGTCATTTCCCTCAACATGGTTTATAAGAGCTTGCACATCATGCTTGTTGGGGGCATTTAACACTTGGCATCATCTCCTTTTTCCATTGTATGCACCAGGTAAGTCAGAATCTTTTGCTGATTTTTTTAAGTAATACAAAGAAAGACATTTTGAAGGCCAATCAATGCTTTGTAGTAACGGCAAGGTTGTTTTTTTTTAATCGGACGGTCATGGGTTTGAGTATAAAAACAATTTTTTTTTTGTAAAGATATAAAAATAAGGTTGCATACAATCAACCCTCGTTCCCATCTTTACAAATCGAGAAGCTTTGTATGATGTTTTTAATGTGAATCAATTGCTTGCCTTTATTCATTTATTAGTGGTTTTGTACGGTGAACACTTTCACTATTGCAAATACGAAAAGTTGAAATGAGTGATCAAATTGTGTCACCACCCAATGCCTATAAATAGAGTGCTTGCTCATGGTTTCATGCATCCCAAGTTCAAGAATTAATGTTTCATTATCATCCCAACTCTGAGAGAAAAATATCAAGTGTCTCTTAAATATTATTTTAAGTAAGGTGTATTATTATCTATGATGCATCGACACGAGACACGATACGATACGACACGTCGACACGTTAATTCTAAAAAATGACATATTTTGACATGTTAGGACACGTTTTGATATTAAATAATATTTTTAATATATATAATATAATTTATATTTAATACATAAAACAGTCCATAATAAATCACATAACCAATCAAATATTCAAATTTTATAACATAAATATAAAGCAAAAACAATTTTTCACACCTTGTTAATTTTTTATGTTAAATTTCATAACAGAAAAAAGTTGACTTATAAATTAATTTTTCATTTTTAGTTAATAAAATAAAATTTAGACCTTAAAGAAAAAACGTGTCGGATGCGTGTCGAAGTGTTGACTGTGTGTCGAAAAAAGTTGACTGCGTGTCGAAAATACATGTCGGGGCGTTGACCGCTTGCCCCAAAATGTTGACCACGTGTCGGACAAGTGTCAGACTAGTGTCTGAACGTATCGGTATCCGACAGATAAATTTTTCAAAAGAAAGGTCCGTGCATTGTAGATTCTCATAATATAAGACAATGATATTATTTTATCATTGTATTATAGAAAGATGTTATAATTTCTTTTAATTAGTGAAAGTCTTCTTTGATTTTGTCCATAATTTTTCTTATTTGAATTTTCCATGTATATCTCTTGTGTCATTTCAATTGGTGTATTTGTTAATCTCCTAGGTGTAATTAAGGAATTAAGATAGTTAATTACAAGATTACCAAAAAAAAGATAGTTAATTACACCATTGGTATCTAGGAAAATGTTTCAAAAGTATATCCTTAAATTTAATGATTATTTAATTAGTTACTGTTGCGATTACAGATAAAGACTCCCACTTATACTTACCTGGCCAATTGATGTAAAAGTGTCTTGAAATTCTTACTTTTCTCAACTCTATTTTAACCGATACTCTATTACCTAACAATACATTATGTGCTGGGATTTGCCCTACAAAGAAAGACATTTCTTGAAGCTACAGCTCCATGGCTTTGATTTCGATAGCAGATTCTGGATTTACCAGTAATGTTGTATGCTCGACGTTTTTTTGTTAACAAAGATCGAAAGCATCTTAGATTTTTGTGTTCTGAGGGGAAAGATAATATATAATAGATGCCGTAATCTTAATAAGATTCATATTCAATTTTGTTCAAGAAATACCACGGGATGGTTTCTAAACTTATCAACAAATGTAACCTAGGGGTGGCAATCCTATACTACATAAAAATTTGTATTCAGATTCACTCATTTTTAAATTTGAGTCATATTTATATCGACAATATATAATATACAAAAATTCATATCGTGTTGCGTGTTAACGTGCAAATACAACATTGACACTTATTTCTTGATTAACTATCATTTTGACTAGCGAGATATATATTATGTCGTGTCAACCTACATGAAAAGTAAGTCGTGTAAATATTGAGAATTCATAAAATTCAACTTGCAAGTTATTCATATGATGTCAACCATAAAAATTATGAGTCTTGTTCGTGTTTAAGGTTTTGACACAAATAAAAATTTGAATTGTTTTCGTATTGAATGTATTTGTATTTATATTAAAATTGTGTCGTATCAATCGAAATATCATTTCTATTTCAATCAGTGTACCTGACATTGACATAATTTTCATTCCAGTTTTATTTTGGAAAGATCTCCCCCGGCTAGTAATTTCACATGTTCAGATTCTGAGTCGTCTATAAATTAATCTGGAGTTCGAGACAAGTCGAAGATTAAGACTTTAAATCCTTTCCTAAGATAATATTGGTGAGAATCAAAACGAAAGTCCTTTCTCAGTTGTTCACATTGTACCAATTGAGCCATGATATTGGATTGTTTCAATCATCCTACGTGTGTACCATTATCAGTACTCTTTCCTAAGTGATGAAAGTGCCGTACACACCCTCAAGATTTTTCTTTCCTTTTTCTTTCCAAATTATGTGGTAGAAAATTATTTAGCTCATGTCATTCTCTGCCCAATTTCTGAAACAGGAACCTTTTATAGAGCTGACCAGAGATATTCATTTAGTTAGACTTCATGGCTTTACATAGTAAACTCTGTTTAAATGAGCATGCTTGATGAGCATTTCTTTTCTTCATAGTCACAACGAGGTGCATGCTTGAGTTTGACAAAAAAGTCAACAAGGCATGCTAAAATGCGCGTTAACGCATCAATTACGTTTACTGCCATTTTATTTAATTGCATCCATCTGAGTTTCTTACTCCAACGTTTCAGAACCGCCCAAGACTAGCTTGTGATTGACTTAATTAAATTTGCCCATTTGTCACGCACCTTAATAGTTACAAATAAAAAAAAACCCACATCTCTTTCAATCTCAATTGATTAAATTCAATTCATCAAAACCTCCGTACAAACAATTTTCTATTGCATAAAGTCAAAGTCTGATGCCTCAAACTACACTAAAAATATGCCACATATTTTGTTAAGATAACATTAAGAGTAAAGTCCCTTTTAGATCTCTAAAAAAAAATATGATCCCCACTTTCATTTCTTAAAAAATAAAAAAGTTAACTTTTGCTTATTCTACAGTTTCAGTTCTTTGAAAATATGATCCCTCAGGAATTTAATGAATATTCAATTTAATCCCTAAAAATTGACTAACATGGATTTTTTTTAGGGAAAAGTTCACCAATGCCCCTGTGGTTTGCTTCAGATTCAATTTAACCTAGGCGTTGCGGTGCATTGTATTACCAATGCCCCTGTGATTTTTTTTCTATCACATATGCCCCTGTAGTTTGTAAAATGGTATATTTTTTATCACATATGCCCCTGTGATTTTTTATTTTTTACAAAGCACAAGGACATATGTGATAAAAAAAAAACCACAGGGGCATAAGTGATTCTGAAGTAAACCACATGGGCATTGGTGAACTTTTTTCTTTTTTTTTATAAGGAACAAAAGTAAGAACCGTACTTTTTTTTAGGGACTCAAAAGAGGCTTTGCTCTAAGGGTGTGTTTGGTACAAGGTCATCAAAAAGATTACTGATAAACATTCTTTGGTAAACGTCAGTTACCATGTTTGGTAGAAGTAACAAAAATCAGTTCTCGGATATCCAAGGTTTACCGGTAATTTGATTTATAAAGAAAAGTCACTATTCGGATTACCAAAAATAATATAGTAATTCAGAATTCTAAGTAAAGGGAAAACACAACAACAATTTTTGAGACAAAAATACCCCAACACACATCAAAACCTAAATCCAATCTATCAATTACAAAAGTAAAAATAGTTTGGAGTTATTTTTGTAAAATAACCTCATATTCCAAGCCATATTTCGTACTAAACCAAACATGGAATCAGTAATCTTTATCCAATATTCCCGGTAATATTTTGGCGAACCAAACACCTTTTTCGTAACATTCCGAGTAAACTTAATTTCTATTGTATTCCCAGTAATCGTGATTTCCGGCATAGTTATCAAATGCGAATTGCGGCATGTCACGGCCAATCCCGAAAAACGCTATAGCGTTATAGCGGGTTGCGGTTGCGGAAATAACGGAATAAATATATGACATAAATAATGACAAAAAGAAACATTTTTTAAAGGCAGAGATAGTAGAAGTGACATAGAGAGACGCGGATAGACTAAAAAACCCTTAAATTTTTTCTGTTATACATTTTGCCGTATGACAGCAATATGGCTTCAAATGCGATCGCAGTGGCCGCTATTGCGTTCCGGTGTGGCGCGACGCGGTTTCTTGCGGCGAGGCACCGCAACGCCCATACGGCGCGGCTCACGGCGCTATTGCGACGCAATTAATACCAAACACACTAACATTAATCTTGAGGATAAGATAATAGTGAGAGGAATCTACATGACTGAATAATCGGGCCATATTGGGCTTTATACCTTCATGATTTTGTTTGGTCCAATTATTTGTTCAAGAATGCTTGTAAGACAACAAAGTCTAAAATACCACAATGGATTATGGTCTTGCATTAACTGGGCTAGTCACTGTCCCAAGCCTCATCAGCCTCTTTTGGTGTTCTCCTCTTATGGATATCACTTTTGACCACATTATTATGTGAATTTGTGGTGGTGTCCAAATCATCCCCAGTGTCCCTCCTACTGTATCCATCAGCTCTTGATACTCTTGAGTCCTCCTCAGCATCTGAAAGCCACATCAAGTTTTCTGAATTGCTAAATATATCTATGGATTCAGAATCAATACTGCTAATTCCTTCTTGCCTCCCTCTCACACTCTTTGTTGCATCAAAGCTATTATGATATTGAGCAGAATCATCAACCTTACCCTCATGATCCCTCACAACATTCTTTTTGTCTCTCTTTATTTGATACGCATACTCATCATCACTGCTGCTGCTCTTATAGTTATTATCACTGAACTTTCTCGAATGTCCTGAGCCATTTTCTTCCTCATCAGACTCCCACATTGCATTTTCAACATCACTCAACATACCTTCTGATTCAGAATCTTCTATGGCCATATTCCTTCTAAATTTAGCTTCAGCATGTCTATTTGAACTTTCATTAACTCGGGCCCTACCCGTTCCAACATTATTCTGCCTCTCCCTTTTCCCCCTACTTTCCTTCAAGGAGTCTCTAGCTTCAATAGAGCCATCAGAATTGCTATCAAGATCACTATCATCTGCGATATTACTGGAATGCCACTCATCATCGTCTTCAGAATGACCATTCTCTTCATCATCACTATCGTTAGCCTGACGCTTAGGACGTGTAGTTTGCCGAACCCTTGAGCCTCTAACCTCACCATCATAGTCATCATTTCTAGGATCATCTGATCTTCTGAATCTTCCACCATATTCTTCTCTGTTCCAATATCTAATTCTGCCAAGCTCTTCTTTTTCTTTTGCCTCTTCAGCTTCATATTCTTTATCGGCTGCATCCTCTATCTCGGCAATGAATTGATCTAACTCTTCCTGATCACTATCGATAGAAGGCTCTGACTCTTCCAAACCTTCAGTAGGTTCTGTTATTGACTGCTTGCCTTCATGGAAGACATAAGGGGTTCCCTCTTTCTTGTCAATAGCATTGAAGAATGTGGAAGCAACTCTCTGGATGCTGGCCATGGCAGTTGGATCCTCAGGATTTACTCCCATTCGCCGGAGCTGCTGTTCTATTTTCTTTATGTTCAATTTCTGAGATTCAAGAGCTTGCTCAAATCTGGCCTTGAATAGAGCCTGTATACAACAACAGGAACAAATACATTACCTCCTCCAGTATCAAGTTGTTTGTATAGTAGATACCAAAAGTCTGTAACTAGGGACCAAAATGACGGTATAAAAAAAAAAAAAAAAAAAACAGACATCAGATTTGAGCAGTCAAGCCTACATCTAAACATAGTCATATTTTCATAAAGGTTGTCATGAAAGCATAATCATTTAAACCAAAGCATTTCATTTCTGTTAAGCCATTAACAAACTGTCCCGAACTAACTTATGTTTGGGATGATTTAGAAAATGATTTTTCTTTCTCCCCATACATTCTCTTAGGGAATTTTTTAATCGAGATTTGGGGAGGGGGGGATGAGGGGGAGTGTCAAAGCTATCTTACCAATACAGCTATTATAAACAGGCAAGTGTCATTACTTTTCCATTATAATGAACACTATTGGTACCTAAATATTATAGTTCATGATTCTGAAGTCAAGCCTTTGGCACCTCAACCACTACAGGCAAAGCATCAACCCTGTTTAAATACAGGCAGAAAGTGGTACAGTCCAATAAGGAATACAACAATGCAAACGTACCTTCCTCTTTGTAAGGGTGTTAATAGGTATCAAATTTTTGGGTTGGCGATAGTTTCTACCACGGAACATAATGATTGTTTTCACATTATGAACATTTATCACAATCCCGCCACTCAATCTTGCAAGCATTGTAGCCATTTCTTTTATTTTTTCCTTGGGGAAGTTGTCACAACAAACTTGCACAGTCTCATGAAACTTCCAATGGAGATGCATATTTTGCACAACTCCTCCGAAGACTCCACGAACACCAACTGGAACATAGTTCTTATTCCTGAAGCCAATTTTTTTAAATGCCTGAAGCTGTTCAGGTGTTAAGAGCTCTGGATCATGACGAGGAGGAGGCAGGTCTGGTAGCTCATATTTCTTGAGTTTTTGTAGTAGCAATGCCACTTTCTTCTTGGCCTGAAATATTTGGAAGGCAGGCAAATAAGATTTAATCAAATGTTCATCTAACAAATACTACAACAAACATACAAAGCAAAAGAAGCAACTGACATGAAATAATAACTTAAAGCTAATGGGGAATATTCAATTTCTACAACGAAGAAACAAGAAGAATCTCAAGCAGTACTCTCTCTCTCTCTCTCTCACACACACACACACACACACACATACACAAAGATAGTTCTCATCTCTTATCAACCCAATTTTCACTTCCTTATTGGGTCTCATAGTATTCAATCAATCAACAAAACGATCATACAAATATGTTATAAGCTGTAATCATGGAAACTCTTGAGCTTGCTAAATTTTGCACACAAATCTAAGTTCAGGCAACTCTTACAAACTATATCATAAATTTAAATGCATAACTAAGACATGGTATGTGCCATATGACGTATTCCAATTTTCAATAGGAGACATTCAATTGCAAAGAGTCTTGTTCAAAGCTAATGTAAGCTACTAAGAAAACAATATATGAAAGTGAAAACATGGATTACAAAGTGAAGTCCAAAGGGTAATAGGAAGGTGTAGATAATATACTCTTCTGAGATTGTAAATGAGCCTCTCCTCCTCGGTCATAAGTTTCTTCTTCAATTTCTTAGCTCTTCGAATTTCCCTCAATGTTTTACCAGACTCTTTCTGCATTCTCCTTTCCACCTTGCTCCTCATACTCCTTCCTTTCGATGTTGACATTGCCCGAGATAAGGATAATCCATTCAAAACATTCAACGGCTTAACATGACAAGAAAAACTAACTTTATCGTATGCTGAGTCTTTAACAATGTTGCTCTGCTCCCATGTATGTCCTAAAGGTACAACATTTCTGACACAAAATAAATCAAAATCAATCCCATAATTCAAAATCACAATAATAATAATAATAATAATAATAATAATAAGGCTTCGTGATTGTTGCTTAAAAAAAAAAAAAAGCAGAAAAAGTTGGAAGAGAGAGAGAGAGAGAGTAATAAAAGGGAGAAGCTTTAGTAAGAAAGAGATGAGGGAGAGGGTGAATCAAGTAAAGGAATAAACTTTGAGGTGAAAGAGAAAATGGGGTTTAGGCATTTCTGAGCGGAATCACTTTTTTTATTTCATGATTTGTAGAAAGAGGGAAAACACAAAACGTTACTTGAAGAGATTGGATTGAAGTTGAAGGAGAGAAGAGAGTGGCTTGAAGCAATGCCTCTGCAGATTTCTCGCACCAAACATTCTTGTTTTTTGATTTCGTGCTACTCCTCCTTCCTGGGTTTTTCACAGTAACAAGCAAAAGGGCAAACAGAAACAGGGTTTTGAATGTTTTGCCAAACACGCCCTAGTTGTTTTCTTTTATAATTTTTTTAATTACAAAAGTAAGGCTAATTTGCATATTATTACCAAAGTGTCGAGTTGGTGTTTTGACCCAAAATCAGAAAAAAAAATTACTGGATTAATGGAAAATTCAAGTATTTTATCAAAATAATATAATCTTATGTGTAAGTGTGCATTCAATTATGCACAAATTGTTTATTTTTTTTATATGTGACTTGAATGCATATAATCTGATGTGTCTCCCCACATTATTTTGATAATGGTTTCGGATTTCGCATCAGGATGATCAAAAGGTCGTGTCAAGTTTGAGTTTTTTTTCTTTGAAAATTTCCTTTAGATTAAATTTTTAATTTTATTTTTTAATTTTGTTTGAAAGATTACGGGGTTGAGATGTTGGGTTTAATATGCTCTTTTCACTTAAGCCCAATAGCTGGTGCGTTGCTGCAAGACCGTGAGGCTTGAGAAGGAGAATTGAACGTGAGAAATTGTCACGTTCACTACTTCACCCCAGGTAATCAAAGCGGTGTCTTTATTCTTCAACGCATCGGTACGATGTGCTTCCGCGTTTCTGATGATATACCTTCATGTGGTATCAGAGCCGGATTGTAATGGGGATTAAGATCAGTTTTGATTTATTTATTTCTCCTATGTGATTTTTGAAAATATGGCACCTTTATTCTGTATCTGTTATTTATAATAATGATGTTGATTCTTTAGAGTTCTTTTTCATAAAAATTTAAATTTTAATTGGTAAAAATGCTTTAATCCATGGTTAGGGTCTCTCGTGTATTTCTCGATTTGTAACAAGGAGGCTAATCCTATATGATTAGATTAATGGTTATATTAATTTCGAAAATTAATTAATTATTATGATTTTGGTAAAATCTAGAATAATCAAATTGATTATTTTTGGAGTTTAAAATCAAGACAAATTAGTAAGAAAATTTCCTAAGAGAATTCTTTTATTTTGCGAGTAATTTATGGGTTTACTAAAAAGGTCATGCGTTAACCACACGCTGCATACCACAATCATGTATCATGATTGTGTGAAGCACACGCTGCCTATCATGACCAGATTTTAGAACCTTAATGATTTCAAAATTCAGATAAGCTAAGTGATGCACGTTCATCAACGCTCTTGCTTACATAGTTTTTGAAATCAAACAAAGGATACTCTCAATTAAATAATTCTTGAAAATTAGAAAATATTGCTTATGTTGAATGGAAGGAGATTTAAATTGAGAAATTAGTTTAACCTTCAAGCGAATTATAGGATCATTAATAAAATAATCATGTGAAGTCCCATCGAATAAGCATGATTGGATTTTATTAGATTGAACCTAAATAATTATGGGAGGAGATTTAAATTAAGAAATTAATTTAACCTCCAGGCGCATTATGGGCCTATCAATAAAATAATCATGTGAGGCCCAACGGATAAGCATGATTGGATTTTATTGGGCCTTAATAATTTCAAAATTTTAATAAAGTATTGTACGGCCCATCGTCGATAATACTAAGTTATTAAAGATAATTTTGAAATTAAACAATGAATTCGATAGGGCTTATGAAAATTCTCAAATAAAAATGTTGAATGGGTGATGGTTTTAAAAATTAAATAATTAATTTTAAAACCTGCGGGCTCCATTTGTGGGTTTATTAGTGAAATGGTTATCGCTGAAGCCCCATCGGATAAGGATAATCAGATTTCACTAGATTAAATCTTAATAATTTCAAAATTTTAGTAAAGTATTGTACGGCCCATCGTCGGCAATGCTTAGACACTAAGGATAATTTTGAAATTAAACAATGGTTAATTACATTCAACTTTGGTAAAATTGTTAACCCTCCTATCGAGGCTCTGGCAATGGCACTGAAGGCCCAAATAACAATTTTGATTTTTACAAGTGACTTGCTCATCGTAAGCCTTGTAAAGATAAACTGAAGAATTGTTAACAATAAATAAGAGTAGTTATGAGAATCTACTTTGTACTTCGTTTATTTATTGCGTTATTTGTTTGTAATTGTGTGCTTTATATGTTTTTTCAGAAAATGACTTCCTTCAATCCTTTAGCCATGATTTTGAGTCAAAAACCTCTAGATGGTACAAACTATGAAGAATGGAAAAGGAACCTTGATATTGTTCTTAAACATGAAAAGCTGAAATTTGTCCTTACCGTACCAAAGCTGTAATAGTCCGTTGTACACCGGTATTGTTAACATTAATTATGATATTAAGCGTCGTTACAATCACAGTAATTCATTTATAAAAATGCGAGTAAACTTTTTTTGTTTTATTACGTGAGTATTTAAAACAATAATAAAGCGTAATAAATAAAAGTTGTGGCCGTAACTGTAAACTATTTGCGGAATAATCATTTAAACTATCTATATATCATAAAATACTTCTCTCAAGTCACTAAGGGGTTCCCATAAACCCACTTAGCTAAAATCTCACTTTTACGTTTTTTACCTATCCAAACATGGTTCGGTCTTTGAATTTCTGCAGACAAACCGCATTCTACAAGCCTCTCATCTTTTAGTATGTTATTCTAGACTTAATTACCTTTCTAGGAAGCTATCACACGAGTCATAAAGTTCTCGTTTGCTCCGGATATCTCCGTTTGAAGTTGGGCAAGCAAATCTGCCAGCAACCTCAAACCTGCTCCAAACATCCTTCACTCAATCAATTATTCTGGAAACTTCACTCAACAAATTGCTTTCAAATTTTTATAAAGTAAACTAGACACCTCAAGCATCAATTTGACATATCATACACCTAATATGACCAAGAAACAAAGCGAAAATAAATTTCCCAAACTCGCACCAGAACAGCCACAAGTGCAGTGGCCAAATGAGCAGTTCGTGCTCTCTGCCTTCTACAGGCCTACTTCCAACCCAGAAAATTCTGAAATTTTAACACAAGATAGAGGACATATCAATATTTAAAATGGAGTGTGGCACGTCCCTATCAGACTTCTGTGGAGGGAGATATGGTCTCCTAAAGTTCACCTAAATTCTGCCAATTTCTAGAAATTTCGCGAAAGTTTCCTTTGTTTTTCCAATAAATCTCATATTTGCAAATGTGTTCTCTAACCTCAATTTGTACCTAATAATCATTGGGTGGCACACAAGCTTGGTGCTCTTACAATCCTTCACAATTTATATCCAATTTAATCAATATGCATAATTCATGCTTACTTTCTCAAGTTAATCAATTTCAATCACAATATTCATTTGCATGCTTCTTGCAACATAAAACATAAATCAATCCTAGAATAGGTCTATTGCCCTTCATCATATACATATACTTCCATATTACATCAAGTCTTCATATACAATTTACAACTCCTCCAAATGACATATTACAAATTACAACCCATAACTTTCAAATAAAACATAATAATTAACCACTAGACTTAGCCAAAAGAGACATGAATAAAATGACAATATGAATGGTCCTATCTAAACATAGTGTTCATGTCCTAAGTCTAGCCTAGGCCCAATGACCACCAAAATGCAAAATAGGTAAAAGTCCTCAAGCTCAACCTATGGGCTTCTTGCCCGCCGCCCCAACACCACTACTACAACCTGAAATAAAGTCCCCAAAGCGGGGTGAGATATACGGATATATCTCAGTAACCTATAGGTTCTGGAGAATACTCCACCTCATGGCTCACTTCGATGCATATAAACAATATAACATAACATCTGAAAACAGGATAAAACAAGGGATTTAGTGAAGTAGGGAAGCATAGGGAAACAAAATACGACGAAGCTGGAATGGTCAATGCCAAAACCACGCAACGTCCAGCCTATTGGCCTTGACATATATCCAACAGGTTTCAAACCAAGGCGTGTTCCCATAACATCAACCAAGGCACCCTCCATCCATAACCACCCAAGACTTCCTAGTGTGCTCCTCTACGGATCACACACCACGACCCTAGGTCATCTGAAACTCTCTCACGGAGACCTATCCAGTGGAAGTCCGTAACGCCAGAAGGTAAACAGTCTACTGGCCAGAGACACGGTACATCCTATGTACCAATACAATACAATATGCATGATCATGTTATCCTATATTATTCACATACATTTCCTACCATTACCCTCAACGGGCATGGTGGAACACATACGAGGATTAAACCCTAGTACCAAGAGATTACCTGTATAATCTTCTCAACATAGTTCCAATGTAATACTTCCCGAGCTAGGTACACAAACAGAAATGCCTACAGATAGGACATTCCCAATTAATTCTCCATTCACCAAACACATGCAAGTTATCAAGCATACAAGCATGGTTCAAGAGCACTTACCACAATCCCTATGGTCCGGGACCAAGGTGTAACAGCCCGTTGTACACCGGTATTGTTAACATTAATTATGATATTAAGCGCAGTTACAATCACAACAATTCATTTATAAAAATGCGAATAAACTTTTTCCGATTATTACGCGAGCATTTAACACATAAAAAGCGTAATGATTAAAAGCTGTGACCGTAACCGTAAACTCTTGCGGAAGACTTATTTAAACTATTTTTATAACTTACATTACTTATCATAAGTTACTAAGGGGTTCCCATAAACCCACTTAGCCAATTTCCAATCTTTACGTTTTTACCAATTCGGACATGTTTCACCCTTAATTTTTCTGCGACCACACCGTTCGTAGCCAAACTCTCTTCTCAGATTATATCTTTGTCTTACTTAATTCCCTTTTCAACAAGCTATCATACGCTAAATTCGGAGCTCATTAGCTCCGGTTATCGCCGTTTGAAGTTGGATCAGCAAATAGCCAAACAACCCCAAAAACAGCACCAAACCACTCACTTTACTCGATTTACTGCACTCAATAAATTCAACAATTTGCTCTCAAATTTTTATCCTACA